AGACTAGCTGAATTAATTCTCGAAATGTGCTGAATCTCGTCATATGTTATTCACCCATTTTTTACTAAAACATTTCACTCCTACGGAATTTTCTTGTTTATCAATCGTCAATGGTTGATCTGTTTTTTCTTCGTCCGCCAAAATCAGTCTATTGCGTAATATATTTGTACTAATTATATATACTTTTTAGAATAAGGGTGACAAACGATCACACAGTCCACCTGATGGTAAGTGGTTGCTGTGCTCCATACATACATCTACATGTATCCTCGAATAAGGATCAAAACGAAGATGCATTGTCACCTCTAAGGACTAACATGGAATGCCCCGTTTCCAGTAAAAAGGCTCTCCGAATCACTACACTTACCATACGAAATACAGCAACATTAAGCTGCTATTTTACGCTGGTATTCTGTGAGAGTGTGGTCTTACCCCGGTCGGGCTGACACATTCGTGTTACAACCATAACATAACTGCAGTGTGACCACTAAAAATAGTTTTAATCACGTTTTAACAGAACACTTTTTTCAATGCTCTTTGAAGTTAAGTAAACGATTGCGATATTGTTAATAACAAAAACATATCGCGAAAATTTTCTCAACGGACTGATTATTTAGTTATTAATTCCATTGCTGGACTGCTTTCTTTTGTATGACAGGACTGTGTGCATGTTAAGTGTATTATCAGATAGAATATTGTAATTATTTTTAATATTTTTTATGTGCTAAAATTGAATTTAGAATTGTCAAATTTATTATTTCAAGTAGTTTTATTTTATAATTTTGAACATCTAGCCAGTGTCTCAAACAATTTTCATACAACTTTCTGAGTCGTCAGGTACGTAATACGGTCATTACGAATATAATCAACCTCTAATGTAAATAGTCCAATGCGGGACGTCAGTTTCTTCCTAGCCGCCTTTTAATCTATTTCATATTACCTAGGTAATTAACCTGAATTGAGCGACATACTGAATCTAAGGCTAGGCAATCAATGTTGTTAAATCAAGTGTACCCCTAAAGAGCAATTTTGCAATAATGTTACAAACGTTTGCAGAACACGCAATTGATTGACGTATGTCGGGACAAAGCCATGGGTAATTTGCGCTTGAATAGATTCATGAATCAATACCAATAATTTCTCTAGCCACACTTAAATAATGATGTAAAATTGAATCGTGTCTTTATTCATCGTTTGTAACTTATAATTAGCATATCAATCAAGAATAATGCTCATACACGATCATGCACGAAATAAATTTCCTAACGTAAAATATGGGGTATGTTCCAAAATAGAACCCAGTATACTGTCCAATGCAAATGACGTCATGAATCAGCGCTATACTGGTGATTCGTTCCAAAACATAGGACAGTATATGACGTCATATATTAGCGCAATATTGGAAAAGTGTTGGCGATTATTTTGTCATTTTGTGCTCCAAAAATCATTATATTCTCCTAATGATCTCCATTAGGAGATTATTATTTATACCAGCAATTATTCTATAATTTTTTTAATTCTGAATGCAGCATACACAAAATTAAAAATTGTTTTAATATGGCCGGATATCCGACACAATATGGCGGCGGCACGCCAGTACAATATGGTGTCAATTGATGACGTCAATTGTATACGGCAGTATACTAGAAACGTTTCCGAACATACCCATGGTTGGTGCCGTGTAGGGGCGGCGCAAGCATGTCTACTACCCCATGTCGTTCCGTGGGTGATATAAGAAACGACAGAGTGAATCTGAAACAGGAAATGGGCAGCAGCATCTTCCCGATAATAATTGAAAATTATAAGAAATTGTGGTTGTATCCCGTTCGCCAAGTGTTGCCACGTTGTAGTATTGTGTTTAGTTGTTAGTTTCCTGGTTTGTGTCACTTTGTCGCTTCACGACACCAACGGGATGATGTTGGATAGTGGACGTTCTTACACTGTTCCACATAAGTGATAGCGCATCTCCGATTTGATGGGTGATTGAGGATTGATGAGGTTTTTAATGAGCCATAGCTTTTGCTTACTATCTGGTGGTTTGTCCCGTCAATTGTATCGTCATTTTGTAGATCAAAGGTGTCTGAGAAATAGGACAAATATCTAACACTATTTTATTTTATGGAATAAGTATGGCAAACGACCACACAGTTCATTTGATGGTAAGTGGATGTCGCGGTCCATAAACATCTACATCTATCCTCTATTAAGAATCAAAATGCAGATGCATTGCCAACCCTGAGGACTAAGATGAAATCCCCTGTTTCCAGTAAAAAAGAGTCTGAGATTCTCTACACTAACCACACGAAACACAGCAGCATTGAGCTGCTATTTCACGCTGGTATTCTGTGAGAACGTGTTCCTTCCCCGGTCGAGACGACCCATTCATGCTGCAGCCGTAACAACTGCGGCAAGGCCCACGTAAAAAACGTATTTTTTGTACTGATATTCAAAAACTTATATTTTCACAATTATTTTGTTCAAAACGTCCGATTAGATTTAAACCTACAATTCCCTGGTATTGCAGTTGCTCATAGTCAACGGTCGACACTAATCATCAGGTGTGTCGCATACTCGTTTGCCCTTATATAAAAAATCAAACATAACAAAAAGAAACTTTCCAAAAAAAAAAAAAACGTGAACAATATCATTTTCAACAATACAAGGAACCCACGCGTGCGCCGTTACCCAACGGATCACAAAAGGAGTCTAATGAACGCATTTCGTTGTCATTGCGGTAAACTTTTACACTAAAGTATTAGTAACTATTGTTAGATTACATCTAACACCACGTGGGACACACCAGTGGGCGGGTTAAGACGTGACACATTAACTTGTGTCAGCACTTTCGAGACTAGCTTTGTGTTTTGTATGGTGAGTGTCACCAGATACCCTTTTTACTGGAAATAAGCCATTTTATCTTAGTCCTCAAGGATTCTTAATCGGGTATAGATGTAGATGTATATGGGCCACAGAATCCACTTAGTTTGAGTGTTAGCACGTTTGTCACCCTCGTTCTATAAAAAAAGAAGTGACACTGCATTTGCATTTTTATTATTAACTAAGGACTGATGTATGTGACTAGGGGTCATAGCATTTTCTTACCATCAGGTGTGTACTCTGTACTCGTTGGACATTCCTTTACTAAAAATCGGTCTAGGTGTGACCCGAATGATCCACACGACTAACTTCCCAGTGGAAAGAATAAAAAAATATGATATGTTTTAATATTTTATACAATTTTTCATTCGGCACAAAAAACTACTTGACCGATTTTACTCAAAATTTAATGAGGTCTAAGTTACATAATTATGCGTTAAATGAAACTAGTCCCTTGTCAATATCACTCTTTATTCTCGAGATACACGAGGCGAAAATTGAATCCGAACATACATATATACACATTCATACATACATATTATATTTGCACACAAGGACATCCTCTTAACAACCATACTATTCGACTCTAAAGACCTTGAAACGTGGAGATATCGACACATGCAAGGAAAAAGATCGTAACTGATTTTTATCAACTTTACAGGAGAGCGCGTCAAAGATTAAAAAAATTCTTATATAGTTCTGTTAAGTCTTAGCGCCATCTCACCGTGAAAATTTAAGTTAGCAAAGGAAAATCTACACTTTCATATCATTAATATGTTATTAATATATGTATTCTATTATTTTTTATGAGTTACAATGACATTACATGACATAAACTTTATAAAATGACATTGTAACTGAGACATACAATTCAATTTTGTGTGTTAATATTTACTTCATTAAGTGAAAAACAATGTAAGTCTGAGATACAATGCCAAACATGTATTTTTATGTGTTTTTGAGTTAATGTAAGAATAAAACATTGTGAAATAATTACGAAAATGCAAGGAATAAATCATGTTGACACACCAAAACAAAGAGTCTTTCATAGTTAAGAAAATATAATAATAAAAAATGTCGTTTTGCTAATTTTGGTTAGTTCTTGCTTATGTTTTAGTATAAGCTTTGTTTAATTTTCTTTTGAAATCTGTTTAAGGTACCTATCCAATCAACTTTAAGATAAGCATTACAGTGAGGTCCATGAAATTCTGAATATCACAATTAATAACAAACTTTAAAATACTTAAAGAAACAAAAATTACAAACTTAAGCAACAGAAAGTATTACAATTATTACTCTATAAACAATCACAAGTCTTTGCAATCTCTAACCAACTATCTAAAATCAGTTTATCTATTAATAAAATAAATTCAAAAATATCTAGAAAGAACCATTTGAAATTTAAGGAAAAATAATTATTAAAAAAAGAAATGTCATTGATTATGTACATCAAAGACTTTTCTTTTTTTAAATTTTAAATGTTTGTTTCTGTAAGATACTTTAAAATGTTTAGTATGCATACAATATAGTAATTATATTGTATGCATACTAAACATTCGATTATATATAACTCACTAAAATATACATAATAGTTTTAAAATACAATACTTCTTAATCAGAATCAGTGATATTATTTGGTAGAATCGTTTTTACATGAGGTATTTATAAAATAATCATGATATATTGTTGGAATGGCATTGCTATTACGTAAGCTTATTAAATCTTTGTACTTTACTGTAGATAAGGGCAAAGGTGCATTATAAGCCTTTGAAATCGGTAGCTTTTGTTCACTGTTTTGAGGTTCCTTGGTAGCGCGACGAGTAACTGCCTGAAGAGAAACTGTCTTAATATCTTGAGCTAGATTTATAGCCATTTCATTGTCGCTCAGATAATCATATTGAAATTTAATTATATTAGGTAAGCTACTGATAAAATGAATATGCATAATTTTACTCCAGGAGACTTTCACATGGTTAACGTCGTGTTCGCAATTTTTGTAACATGACAAAAGTTGTTTAAAATCCAATATATTATCTTGGTTTACTTCCTTGACTTCATACGGCTCACCACTAGATTTAGCGCATCTTATCAAAGTCACCCATTGCTGAGGTACGTAGATAATTTTATGTTTTTTTCCTTCGCTCAATAAGTGCATACATCGCATTACCCTCTGATTGTGAATGTCCAACTTCAAAGAAGTAATGATTTATATTTATATTAAATATTCTGCTAGCATATGCATACATTGCGAATACTGTCCTATTTTTATTCTGACCGCCACAGCTATCAGTTTCTATTATTTCGTTAGATCCTTTGCGTCCGATCGTCTCGTCCCACAAGTAGCAATACCCTTTATGTTTACCCATATCATAGATCGTGAAGTTATATGTAGCAAGTTTTCTTTTGTAGTAAAATACGGACACTTCTGAATGAGGAGTATTCAAAATTTTTTGTAAACCATAACAAGCTGTTACAACAGAATCAGAGTGTTTAGCTCGGTGTTTGTCACTATCTTTTAAAGACCTGACCACATTTTTGTTTGCAATATGTAAAGCGTACTCATACTCTAGCTTAGTTTTGTCAGTCTCAGTTAAATTTTTAAATAAATCACACCTTGGACATTGGTCTTTTTTTGGTTTGTTAAAGTCTATATTAAAATCTGTCTTAAATATCTCCCTATACTGTCTTGAAGTCGCAACTACCTGATCGGAATGTTTTTCATTCATCCATTCCAAATAAAGTTTGTAGAGTATTGGAAAGTTCAGTTGTTCATCCAGATACTCTTTAGATGTTCTGTTTCTCACATAGTGTGAGTCTACTAATGGCATTTGTGAAATATGATCTCTAACAGATTGTTTGACTTGATCTGGAACGGCATTTTTGCGCGTGCCGTGTATACCTCTTTTATCGTTTATTATAGTACCTGTAGCACTTATCAATTTTTTTAAATAAAGTCTGCAACCACATGTCGCTTATGGAGAGGGTGTTTAAAAACATCGTCTTACAGGTTCGTATTTCTTGACCTTCTATAAACAAATTGTATTCAAAAGACCACTTGCGCCTACTGGATGAGACCGAGGCGGCAATAACTTGTTTTTTTGGGACTCTTCTAACAAATCGGCTAATATAATCCATTTGTTTATTATGTATCCCCCAGTTCCCAGAAGTTTTTAAGTATTAAACTTCTCTGGTTTTCTGTGATTGCTTCTCGACATTTACGTGAACTATTAGCACCACAGTCTGGTTTCATAATTTTTTTCGCTATTAACTGCCCTTTTCTATTTATAAATTACTCGCCTCTTAAAATTACTCTTTCGTTTACATATTTCAGCCTTCCAATTTTCTTTATTCAAAAATCTCTTCCTTCCTGGTTTAACTTTCTTCGGATAATTCTTTTTTTCTTTAGCATTAATGTGTGACGAAATTCTAGGCTCTTCTGCGTTAGTTTGACTTCCATTCCCTATTACATTACTTTGTTCTTTAGAGGTTCGTATTCCAGGTTCTATTGCATCAATCATGTAGAACGTAATTAAGACAAACCTAACATACTTCAAGTCCAGGTTCATACGTAATTTTAATGGACTTCATTATATACGTACCTGTCTCGACAAAATTTGGTGACATCCTCCTATCCAGTGGTACATTATTCTCAACGTCATTATTTCGATTATTCACATGTTCGTCTTCTAAAAAAATCGTCTATTGCAGTTTGTACATAAACTAATAATATACCTCAAAATTACTGCATGTTGATATTTATGAGGTCAATCATAATATTCAAGTGTACTTATTCTAAATTGCAAATAAGATGTTATAACAATAAGTGGATGATATGTAAATATTTAAAAATAATGATCATTTACTAACCTGCGTTAATGTCCGTAATTTCACTTTTAGCTAAAGCTAACGCAATTATCTTACTACGGTGACTCATTTTTTTTAACTGTTTTCATATTAAAACCATCCAATATTGTATGCAAGTTCCGGCAAAAAACACGTCGTAACTTGTACACAACATCAATAACACGTGCGAGGTGAGGAAGCGATCAAGAATCTATGCATCGTAAGTTTAATAACCTATCGTTAAACAAACACAACCCGAAAATTATTGCAGAGAAAATAATTGTAACTTATGTTACAGTCTTTGGACTGATATTTTTTTTTCTGTTTAAAGATTGAAACATCGTAAGCAATTTTACGATGAAAGCTTTTTTTATTACGAAAATATAATTGCCAAGAACAAGAGAGTATCTTGTATTGCAATTATTGTTATGTAATAAATTAATGTCAGGCATAAGTAAATATGTGTAACTAAATATACCTTTTTTATTACCTTCAGTGGACACTGACTTACAACATTTTTCTACTAGCCAAAATCGTAACGCGAATGAATTTAGATACAGGGGGTAAGCGCAAATGAAAGAGAATTTTTTTATTTACTGAGAATATGATCGTAACTCAAAAACGCTAAAAAGTGACTTACGATGTTTTTCCTTGCAGGTGTCGATATGTTAAAATTTCCAATTTGCAAAATCAGACCCATTACAATAACTTCCCACTTCGAAATTAAAAAGAAAACTAACGGAAATAAATAAACTATTTAAAAAGAAAATTTTCGTTTGGTTACTCACATATTCTTCACATGACAGAAGCATTTTTCCAAATCAGTGGTTATGGAGTGTAGAGGTAAGGAGTACAGACTGTCTATAAAAGTGTCCGTAGGAAAGCGCTAAATAAAGGTGGCGCCACTGTAGCTACAGTCTAAATTTTAAAGAACATTTTATGATTTTTTTATTGCACAGACTCACCATAATTCTTTTTAATTAATTATTTTATTGCTTTCAAAATTTTTATTTTCAAAATCACTCTCAATGTATTTTACGGCGATTTATCATACCCTGTAGCTACTCGAGCGCTGTTGTGGAGAGTATTTGAACTGTTATTTACTGCTTTCGGATGGACACATTATCAACTATTCTTTTATGGGATATTGCCCTCCGAACCTCTATATTTCATGCCAGTGGTAAAACCATAATTGTCTTTTTAATAAAAAGAATTATCCATTACCATTAAAGCCTATAAAAGTGTACTGCTGAAAATAGGACTCTCCCATAGATTGCGTTATAGGGGGGATTTTGCCTTAGTTCCTACGCTTGCCAGGCGGGTTGCCAACCGCAGTTTTTATTGTTTTGAGTTGTTATCAGATAGATTCTGCTGCTCATCTTCCGTTTTAATGTTCCTCTGTACCTCTTCCGACATTGACGGAAAGATATGGGGTAGTGTGTAGTACTGGCTAAATTTTTATAATGTGTGTTTAATAAAATTATTATATTTTTTATTTTATTATCTGTTATACAATTCATATAAGGTGAGCAACGTAACTCTGCATTAGGAAATATAGAGACGTGAATCCCAACGAGTACAATAGACGAATCAATAAGTCACTATAAATTAATTACATAACAGTAATTTATCAATGTTTATTGCGGGTTTTTTTAAAGATAATAATAGTTAACGTATCCGTATCAATGAACAATAGATCGATAAACAAAAACATCGTGGGAATCGTCGAGTTTCTCATCACTAATCGTTTAGTCCGGATTCGAACAATATAGCCATAAGTTGACACATTGTGAACATACTGTAGAAACTTTAGCTGGAGAATAGGCGGAAGCGATTGTCGTTACTGAGCATTTTCAAATGGTTTTGGAGTAGAAATGAGTGTCCGAACTCGTATATGGGAAATTCACGTCACACACACACACACACACACACACACACACACACACACACACACACACACACACACACACACACATATATATATATATATACATATATATATATATATATATATATATATATATATATATATATAAATAACATTGAAATGTTTGTTTGTAATATAGAAATGATAAGCTTTTATTAAGCTTGAGAGAGTATATCCAAACCTTTAAGTATATGCATGTTCAGGCAAAACTTAGGAACAGCGGAACCGTTAATGATGAAACTTTATGCACTGATAGAGTATAGGGTCAGGAAGGATCAAGGTTATATTTTTTTTATGAAAAACACGTTAAAAGTTAAAAAAAACTACCTAATAGATTCAATATTTCAAATTCGAGATGGAAATTTTCTTACGATGAATAAAAATGATTTCACCGTGATTCTGTTCAAATATGTACAAGTAAAATTAATACTAAAGCTGCAATGGTTTTGTTATTAATTTCTGTTTTATGCCAATTTTAATCATCTTTCAACACACGAAGATAATAAAATACATACAGTAATATATAAATAAACAGATATAGTAATAGTAATATTGTAATAATACAGTCTATCAAAAACTTACTGCTGAAAATAGGCCGCCCCTATGGCCACGGTTGGCAGACCGTTTGGCAACTGCAGCTTCTTATTATTCTGAGTTTTTTTTATAGAATCAGCTGACAAACGAGCATACAGTCCACCTGATTGTAAGTGGATGCTGTGGCCCATAGAAATCTACATTTATCCTCGATTAAAAATCCAAACGCAGATGCGTTGTCACCCCTGAGGACTAAGATGGAATGCCTCGTGTCCAGTAAAAAAGGGTCTCCAGATCTCTACACTGACCATAAGAAACACAGCAGTATTAAGCTGATACTTACGCTGGTATTCTGTGAAAGCGTGGTCCTTCCCACGTATAGAGAATGATTTGTATCATTCTCTATACGTGTTTGTTGTTTGTTTTACCATGAGAATGCCGCTGCTCGTATATTGTTTCCTTCTCTCTAGTATCTATTACAACACACAGGATGAATTGCGGGTAAATTATATAAAAAACTAACAGATGTGGAAGATATACTTATTCAATAAATGTTTCGATATTAGTTCATAACATCGATATATATGTACTTCGTAGTACATATAACTCAATGGTTCGTAGTTTTTAAAAAATTGCAAAAATAATATGAAAAATAAAAGTCTGTGATTGATTGTTTCTGGATATGGGACGTCCCGGAAAATCCGAAACAGTTGGCGATCCTAGCCATAATACAGCTTCAGCAGGGCTCTACCAAGTATGAGTATGAAATATAATATGTTACGAGTAAAACTTTAATGCCCGCGCAAGTTGTTTGACACTATCATATTCTATTTAGTTAATAGCTTTGACAATACCTGAAAATTGTCGCAAGTAAGCCTCCTCATATCGTAACCAATATTAACTAATAAATTCGGGACATCAACATTTTTCTAATAAAAGTTCAAATATAATAATATCTATGGCTGTCAAGCCGCCTGCCAAGATGGCAACTATGAAAGCGGCAATATTCAGCTGTGTACTTTTATTTATTTAATTGTTTATTAATTTAGTCATTGACTTATTTAGTCAATTATTTATTTATTTACTTATTAAGCTATTGCATAGCTTCTATCGCGGGCCTTGAGCGTGGGGACCGAATCCAAAAATTTATTCCACCGTAACGAAAAAACCTCACGCTCCCCACTCCGACGGGCACGGAGGTGTGGCTTGAAGGTCGTGCATTGTCTAACGTCGTTTATGTGCGGACGAATTTATTTTATTTTAGACGACGACTCCGTGGCGCAGTGGCTTGGCAATGAGTGACTGTGCCACGAGTCGCGGGTTTGAATTCCGCACGGAACAAGTATTTGTATATCCTACAAATAATTGTTTCGGGTCTGGATGTGTGTCCTTATGCAATTTATGTTTGTAAGTTGCCTTCGCGATACAGGAGAAAATCCAAGTGTGGGGAATGTGGTGTGGGAATGAAGTGGGGGAAGAATAGTGAATATTAATGGGCTGTAAATAGATATACGATTAGCTTTATTTATTCTTTACATGAATCAGAAACTGGAATAAATACCATTAATTAGAACTAAACTTATTTTAAAGTTAAGGGAGTTATAATCGATAAGTCTATGTTTTAAAATTGGGTTTTGTTTTTAAAGTTTAGCAAAGCATGTACTTGCTTTTCTATCAGACATTTGATGTATATAAAAAACACCTTATAATTTATTGGTAATTTAATTATTTTTTGAAAACATTAGCAATAAATATAATTAACACTGACTTAATAATAGGTACTAATTATAACTTAGAACATAAATGAAAAACTCATGACAAGGAAAGTGGCTCAGGACCATGCTTTGCGGCTTTCTTTGGAGGAAGATGTTCAGTACAGAGTACAGAGGACATGTATACATGTCCGCATTACGTGCTGCTATTTTCGTCATTAATTGATATAAAAATACAGTATATTTTCGATTGAATACTATTTCATTCGATTCTGAACGAAGTAAAGAATATTCTGTAGCATTATATTCACTCGATTACATAGACATCATCAAATATAACAGCCATTCGCTTTTGCGTGCCGGTGCGGTTGGTTGCGTAATCGTTGAAGTTTTGTAATTGTGATTTTAGTTGGATTTTCTTTCAAAAAAACTGTAAGTAATGTTATTTATCTTTACTACGTAATGTTTTTGAATGATTTAAGTTACAATAACAGTAACTTTTTATGTTTCAATTGATAAAAAAGTAGAAATAAAAAACCTCTACGCGAACAATTCGTAACGGTCAAGATTTCTAATAAGATTCTAATAAGATAATAATAGTATATTTCTTATTGGAATACCATAGTAAATACTTTTACTAGTAATTGCTAAATGTTATATCTATATGATTGTATAAGAAAAATATAGGAAGACGATATAAAATATATACACAAAAAAGGTTTTGAAAATGAGTTTAGCAAGCGCGCGCAACAGTTTGCGTCTGTCTATTGTCGAATTTTTAGCAAATGTTTGCAAGTGAAAAAGTAGAATTATTATAATTATTACATGCATAATTTCGGTTTATTTAGGAAGAATATGTTGTATTGATTGTAAGGACATAAAAATAAAATAAAAACTTACGATATTTCATTCATAAAA